CCTTGGGGCTGGGACCAGGTTGCCAGAGAAAGTTCAGGTGACTCCACTGCATCCAGGTTGGTTGGCAAGGGATTGGCACCATGTCTATCTCATGGATGCCACTTGTAGGGCCAGACTGAGGGCTGGGCAGAGAGGTTGGGAAAGGCCAAAGGTCAGATGCTCCAGGGATAAGGAAGCCTGGTGTGGGGACCTCCTGCCAGTATACCTGTTTCCTGTCCTACCAGGACAAACCAAGGAAGGGCCTTTGCTTCCTCCAAGCAGCCACTGGTCCCTGTCATTACTGCCTTCGACCACTGAGAGGCCTTGAACATGAGTCCAGACCGTGGGTTACCTTATTCAGTAGGGAGGAAGGGAAGAGATGACTTGTGAGTCCTCTGGCCCTGCTGGCACTCTGTGGGACTCAGAGATAGGATTTGGTACCCGTGGCCTTTGTCCTGGGCAGTGGTCCACCTTCGTGCTCTGTCCCCCTGTGGCCACTGTGGAAGGCTAAGCATGAAGGAGCAATGCATTCCTTTTGCTTTCAGTCCAGGCATTTCTACCCCTGAATACCATCAACCTGTAGTGTTTTTTGGAGGACTTGGAATATTTGAGCTGCTTGTCCTGGTCTGGCAACACAAGCAGGAGGCAAAGAGGAAAATTCTTGCTGGGCACCAGAGGCTCACACCTGTAATCCTAGTGACTCAGGAGGCAGAGATCAGGAGGATCACAGTTTGAAGCCTGCCTGGGCAAATAGTTTGTAAGACCCTATCTCGAACAAATCCAACACAAGAAAAAAGGGCTGGTAGAGTAGCTCAAGATATAAGCCCTGAGTTCAAGCCCCAGTACCACACAAAAAAAGAAGGATGTGGCTTGATTCTGTTCAGGCATTTCAGCTTTTACCCTGGACTTAGTTCAAAATGACAGACTGAGGCCTGCTTTAAAAATTAATTTGTAACATCTTATAAATAATGAGATTAATTGGTGTGTAGATCTTGGGGAATATCTGACTATTCTATTTTCATGTCTTACAGATAATTAAATAAAGCAGACTTTTCTCCTTTTATTTTTTAAATATTTATTTATTTATTTTGCCATGCTGGACATAGAACCCAAGGACTTGTGCCTTACTAGGCAAGCAACCTTAGAATTTCCTTAAAAACAGTATTTCAAATGATTTCTCTACAACTAAATTCTGCTGAATTTAGTTATAGAGAAAAGTGAATTTGTGTTTTGGAAAAACATCAATTATTCAACCTACTGCTTCCTGATCATACTTCAGTGACTGTGACAATGGTCAGTTGAGTGTACAGAGAGGGAAAGGGCAGTAAAAAGCAGTACATCACTACATTGAAGCTAAAGGATCCGTCTATTAGAATTCGGCTCTCTTTTAGTACCTTGTTCATAAAATCTCCTGCTGTGGTAGAAAGGAAAGCCATTCTTCTGGCTGGCTTCCTTAATCAACAACAGATGGTTCTAGGAGATCCAGCTAGCTGACTGAGGCTCTGAGTTTGGCTACTAGCTTGTATTCAGCCTCACCTACATACCTGGTCAATCAACGAAGATGAAAAGCCCTGCACTCAGTGGACAACATGGAAGCACTGTTGCTCATAGTCTCATCTGCAGCAAGGTGAAATATTTTCCATGCTTGGGGTGAACCTAGTCCTTGATGGAGCTACTGACTCTCTAAGTTACATATTTTTGTATGGTTATATTATATATTTTGTATGGTATTTTCATACCTGGTGTAATCAGTTTCCCTTATAGGTAAGTCTCATAGTGCATTTAATCTGCTAGTTACTGACTGCTCACCTGGCCTCCAACACATCTACTAACATAATTTTTCATCCTGTGCATTTTTTTTTTTGCTTTAACTGCTCAGATTGCAGGTGCGTGGTTGGCTGGAAGCAGGGATCTTTTTTGGCAGTAAGCCGTGTGTTCCTTCTTACCTTGCTTCGAGGCCTACTGTACCTTTCTCAAGGACTGTGCCTAAGACCTTTCCTGCCTTCTCACCTCCTTCAAAGACCAGTTTAAACACGTTCCTTCAGCATAAAGCCCACTCCAGCTAAAAGCAGGGAAGGTAGGAAAGTCAGCTAGCACCTTTGGTAGCGTGACATAGGTTACAGATTTTAAAAGGCAGCTCTGTGCTCTGCAACAAACCTGTCTAGGTTTAAACCTTGTGACTGCTAAAGGCATGTTGAGAGATCCACCTTTGTATTATTGACTTCATTATAATCACCATTGTCTGTTTCATCCTACAGGACTCCTGAGTGCCTGCTGGTGCATTTTGGGGGATATAAATTTCTTACAAGAAGCAAGCCTGTGTAACAGGCAGACAAGTTAAATATTTTGATGGCACTCAAAACATCCCTGTCTATTCTTGTTAAATTCATTCATAATCTTTGGGGGTCTGGAAAGCATATTTCTCAGCAAAATAAAAAAAATCACATATAATATTACCTTTCCTATGGGTGCTTACACCAATTTTCAAGTAGAGAAATGAGAAGAGATGATACTTGTGCCACCCACCCCTTTTCTGCTCTGCAGCTTTCTTTTAGAAATGTTTTTTTGAAACTAGGAGGAATTGTCTATTTCTAATCTAGCAATATATTTTATTTCTTTTTTCATGGAAAACCTGATTTGGTTTTGATTTATTTGTTGATTTTTTCCTTTTCCTTCTGTCCCTTGTCAAGCTGCAAAGTAAGGACAGGCATTGAAAAATGGAAGGTCAACATTCAAATGGAGTTAAAACTAAAGCAGGTGGCAATCTGTGAAGAATGAGACTTCCTTCCCTGGCATGGGTTGATGTGAGAAGCTACTTTCTTTTTCATGTGTTTTGCTTCCCCCCAGGACAGCCAGCCAGCATGATAGAGAGCATTCCCAGCTTCCCAGCCCCTCTGTGTTGCCAAAGTGAAGGTTCACCTTTCCTATGTAGACACTTTCCAGATAAACCCATGTGGATAAGATTAACTCTAGGTTTTCTTTAACTTTCCTTAGCTTAAAAGGAACAGAGAACTCCTCTGTAGCTCTCCTACATCGAAACAGTGGTTGGATTTCATTAGCAACCATGAAATGTTTTAATATTGGACCGGAGCCAGTCAACAGCCCAAATTCTTAACTTCTTAATTCCTCACTTCTTGAGAGAATTAAATGATGTCCAAAGTCGTAATTTTCGAGGAGACAACTCCACCCTTATTTTAACTGCTGGGGAGAGGGGAAGGAAGCTGTGTAGTAGTGATTAAGACGGTGTCTTAGACAGAAAAGGTGGATTTCTGAGAAAGATGTTGATAGAAAAAATAATATAAATGTATTGCTTAACTCATTTGCTTAACTAAAGTTAAAAGAGAACTATCCCCAAAGTTTGACCAAGTTTAATTCTTGGGGTGACCTCCCTCCCTTCTCTGGCCCACCCACCCACACACCTACAGTCCTTACATTTCCAGTTGATGCCTGAACTTGAACTGAAGTTGCCTGTTCATTGGATTATTTTCCAATTCAGGAAGTCAGGTTTTAAAATGGGGAGCCCCAGTAATTTAACCACTAACCTTCAAGCAGAGGTTTCGAATTCACCAGGGGACAAGCGTATTTTTATTCAACAAATCAGACGAAAAATGTAAAAATTAGACTTTAAATGTTTTATTTTTGTCGATTCTGTACAGCTCAAGGGAACAAAGTTAGAGATAAAAATAGATGCCAACTAAATTTGGCTACTATAAACAACCGAAACCTTCAACATAAAAATCAAAGCAAGCTAAGATCATAAAAATAACCTTGGGTAATTCATTAAGGCCATAACAACCCAAGACCCGTCATCTACTACGTAGTTCTTCAATTGCAAAACAGCAAGAAGAATGACTTGCAAGGCGCGGATTAACGACCCCGCACCGGAAGGTTCGGCTGGACAGCGCAGAAGGCGCCATCCCGCCTGCACCGCAGCTGGATCCGCCGAGCCGCGGGCGATTTGGGCTCCAGGTCCTTCCCTGGGTCTTAATGAGAACATTAATTGGCGAGCTTCTCAAGTCCGTGCCTACGAAATGCCTTGTTACCGATTTTAGTAAATTTCGAACACCGATGGCGTGCAAGGGGGTTGGTTTTTGTTTTTAAGCAAGCTTAGATGTTGGTTACGCTACCTTTGGGGAGGAGGAGAGGAGCAAAAGGTGAACCTCGAGTTCTAAGGTGTCTAAGATCCCAGGATGTAAGAGCGGATACTCTGCAAAAGAACACCTGGGTATGCGAGTCTCAAAAATAGCATTCTAACAGCCGGGCTACCAAAGCGACTTCCTTCCCCGCACACTCACCAGCCCTGTCTCTGTCACCGCCCTCACCCACCCTCCGCACCGCACCTCCAAACGCTGCGTCGCTGGGGGTCAGTGCGTCGGTGTCGCCTCCGAGGGTTTGCACCGACTCACTGGTCTTTCTTTGCCTCCTGAGGTCTGGCAACCTGGGTTGACAGGGATTGGCTGGTGGCAACAGGGGCGCCTGTGAGTTCTGGCCAGGGAGACAAACAAGAAACTACCCCTCACCCCCCACCCCCCTCACCCCCACCCCATCACCACCACCTCGGGCTGGACGCTGTTGGAGAGCAGCCCCTCGGCCTCGGAGCGCAGGGCTCCCAGGAGGTCGCGCTCAGGCCTGGCCACTGACCGTACGCGGAACGAGCCGAACGTACCGCATCGCTTCCTGAAATTCACACCAGCCCCGTGACCCTCACGATCGCAGGGAGAGCGACACGCTGGGTGAGTATGGGGAGGTGAGCTCACTTTCTGCTCTAAGCAGGTGGGATCGGCCCAGAACTCCAAACAGCCCCGATGCTCCTTGGAACATCCGCTCGGGTCACTTTGATTTCCCGGGAGTGGGGATAGGGAAGGAGATGCCCGACAGTTCCTTCCTCTGGTCGTGAAGGTTCCAAACGCCCCTCCTGACTCGGGCCCATTCTGCATGGACTCGGGGCGCAGGGGTGCAGAGAAGCTGGGCGGCGGGAGGCCGGGCCGAAGTTGCGCCCCGCCCGGGGTCCGGGCCAGCTCTCACTTGGAGAACTGAGCCTGCACGGCCGCCAGTCCCAGGCCGGCGGGGACCAGGTGCGGGAACTTGCACACGGCGCAGGTGCAGAGGCCGGGGCCGCTCGCGCCACCACCCGGGAGCGCGAACTGGCCGCACTGTGGCTCGTCGAGCGCCAACGACAGGTACTTGGCAGGGCGCAGCGCATCGGGGGGTCCCACGGCGCCGGGTGTGAGCAGCACGGAGCCCGGCGCGGCGGCGAGCAGGGGCAGGCCGGCCAGGAGCAGGCGCGGCGCGGCGGGTCCCGCACCCTCGCCGAGCGCGCGGCGCAGCTCCTGCAGGGAGCTACCCAGCAGCAGGATATAGTTGCGGGCGAGCAGCAGCGTGGCGATCTTGGAGAGCTTGCGGCCCGGCGCGCCCTGGCAATGCGCCGCCGAGTAGGGTAGGATGACTTCGCGCAGCGCATCCATTGCCAAGTTCAGGTCCTGCATGCGCTTCCGTTCGCGGCTGTTGATCTTGCGCCGCAGCTGCTGCTGCTGCTCCTCTTTGGCGTCCGCCCGGGCGCCGCAGCCCGCGTGCGCCCCGGTCCCCGGCCCGGTGCCCGGCAGCTCGGCCAGCGCCTCCGGCTTCTCGCGCGCAGCCTTGGGGAGGAGGGGCGCCGTCGTGGAGGAGGAGGAGGAGGTGGAGGGCGGCTGCCGGTAGCCCACCAGCTCGTACAGGGAGGCCCCGAGCTGCACGTCTCCCGGCCGCTGTGGCCTCAGCATGGTCGCAGGGGCCGCGTTCATGCGCGCCTGGGAAACCGCATAGTACATCTGGGGGGCGGTGGGGGCGACCGAGGACGCCCTTGAGGGATGCCCCGGGGTGGGCCGGTCGACAGGCAGCCCCTCCCTGCGGACTTGCGCGCGGGTAGCGGATGGTGGAGCTGCAGCCCGCGCCCACCCCTTTAAACCGGTCTTGGGAACCTGCGGGGACCGCGCTCGGTGGTGCGCAGCCAATGGCGGCGCGAGGCCGGACGCAGGCGTGAGCTCATTGGCCGCCTGCGCCTCGGCCCGCGCAGAGGTGCCGCTGGCACTGCTCAAGGAAGTTATTGTGAGCGCCTATGCTAGTGTAGCAGGACAGCCCCCCCCGCCCCGCACCTCCCCGGAGGAGAAGGGATGGCGCATTTGGGGTGCAGGGCGGCTGTTCAAGGAGGACTAGTGGCATTGGTCAGGCTAAAACGCATTTGCCTTCTTCCTTCCCTCTGCCTCTTTTTCTTTATACCAATATATGTCTTTTAAAACTTGTGGTTAAATGTTCCTAACATAAAAGTTACCATCTTGACTCATTTCTAAGAGTACAGTTTGTGTTGAGCACTATGCATTCACTTTATGCAACCAGTCTTCAGAACTCTTCTTGCAAAAAAAACTCTATTGCCATTAAAGGACTCTGCATTCCCTGTCCTCCAACTCCTGAAAGCCACCGTTCTGTGTTCGGTCTCCGTGAATATGTCCTGCTCTAGGTTATCTGTATAAGTGGAATGATACAGAATTCGCGTGTGACTGGCTGGCTTATTCTCACGTGGCATAATGTCTTCAAGCTTCATCCATGTTGAATATACCATGTATCTGAATCCCCTTCCTTTTTAAGGCTGAATGATATGTTTCCATTTTTCTGGGTCTACTACCTTTTGTTTATCTACTCATTCATGGAAGGGTACTTTGGTGGCCTCCACCTTTTGACTATTGGGACTGTGCTACTATGAATGTGGGTGTAACATGGTTTTGTTTTTAAGTACATAATTTCCTGTCAAGTTCAGAAAACTAAATTTTTGGGCTAAATGGCAGTAGCATTAGGATGGTTACTATCTGCCACCTCTATCTCCCTCATCCATTTGATTAAAAAGTCTTTAGGGACTAAAGAGACTTTGGATTTCTCTTCCCCTAAAAAAGGATGTGTGTTTTATCAGTGACTCAACTCTTGCTTAAACAAAAACTCACTCAGAAGTTGGCATCTTATCAGAAACAAAACAAAACATCCACAAACTCCTGTCTGTTGAGTGTGGGGCTGAATCTTTCTTTTCTGCAAATAAAATGGCACTACTTGGTAGCTATGGAAGTTTTCTTCCCCTGACTTCAGTGCACAACTATTGCAGCTCGCCATCAGAGCATGGCAAAATGCCATAGGAAGGTGCCTTTTAGCATCTTAACTTCTACCCAGGATGGTAATAAGCCACAAGTGGCTATGAAAATGTAAATTACTTAAAATAAAATTAAGCTAAAATTTAGGCCTCCAGTTGCACAAGCATTGCTTCAAGGATGTAGGAGTGGCAGGTGGCAAGTGGCAGCACAGATGTAGAACCTTTCCATCATGGCAGAATGATCTAGAGTGTAACAGAAAGAAAATGAGCTTTCTTCACTGTGGTGCTCTTTGGTCAAGATGAGGGTCGCTGTGGAAGGGGCTGCCCACCTTGGGAACTGGTCTCTGCTCTAAAAGCCCTGACTGTACTTGCTTTTTTTTCAGGGTGTTTTGTGTCATTTTCTTCCATCATTATTCATCCCAGAGGCCCACTTTGGGCTCTGCTTCCAGCCTCCAACTGCACCTGTCACAGCTGTCCCAGGCTCAGGTTTAGCTCCAACATGACTTTCTTCCTTGCCTTGGAGACTTCCTGTCTTCCTCCTTTCCTCATGCTTGGCAAACTACTGATAGCATTTCCCCATAGCCTGGATTGTCTTGTGTTCATATCATCTCTTGCATTCAGCTGGGGTTGTTTTGAGGGGAGGAACCACCTGCATCCTTCCAAAATTCAGCTCTGTGCTCTGCATCTCCTGTGTGTCCACAAAATAGCTAAGGATAGATTGGAACTTGTCACTAGCTCACAAGCTCATCCTTTCAAATGTGCAAACTCCCAGATGCTCTTACCCAAAAAGTTTCCTGTAGGCTTTACAGGAAGGAAAGAAGCTGGTAGGGCCTCCTGATCCCAGAGGAGCCTGGGCTGACATGGTGATGGAGAATTCACCTAGGGAGAGAGAAGGAAGTTGGCAGAAAAGAGCTGAATCTGAGAGCAGCACCATACTAGGCAGGAAGGAGAGAAACACCAAGGAAATAGCCTTCAAAATTTCAAGCAATGAACTTCAACACTTCACACGTCTTTTCACCTCACGGTAAAGCAGTCTGTTTTCAGTGCATTGCCATAAACACTTGCATTTGGTTCTCACAGAACCTCTGCAGCTGGCATTTTTGATCTCTGCTGAACGTGATAAAACTGAGGCTCCCAGGGAGTGGCCAGTGTCTCCAGAAAGGAGAAGCAGAGCTATCCCTTGGTGGCTGGATTCCTGAATTCTCTCCTGCTGGACCAAGCTTCCAGAAGGTCTCTGAGAGGGTGTGATGGGAGGGTTGGGAAATGGATGAAAAGATGGAGGTGCCAGCCTCGACCCAGCCAGTATTGATGAGGGGATAGGGTTGAGCCATGACGCTAAAGAGCAGGTCCCCTGGGCTGACCTCCACAAGTAATCAAGTCCCTTGGCAGGGGCTGCCCTTGCTCTCAGGACCCCTCTATCTGGTAGTTGAGTTGCTAGATTGGGGTAGGCCCTGGCAACTGCTCCTTCTGGCTTCCTTGTCTACCTACATCCTAAGCAGGGACCCTGGGGTTTTACCCTGTACCAGGAAAGGAACAGAAGGAGGAAGAAAGAACCTAAGTCAGTGTTGCCTGGACTGCATCTCCTCTGTTTCCCACCCTTGGACAGGGCACCAGGAATCACAGAGATGAATGCACTTGCTATTCTTCCGTCCATGAGGCCCTTTTTTAGGTATCCCTGAGGGTTCCTTTCACCCTTGGCCTCACTTCATCTCCTTCTTGAGATGGAGAAACCCCCCTTTCCTCCACCAAAGAGACTATTGGTTGGACACACTGGTCAGCATGCATTTCAGTGTTCCCTTGAGGGCCCCAGAAGAGAATTCTGTATGGGTGGCCATACAAATCCAACATGGGCACAGGATTTGGCAGTCATTGGAGCTGGTGACTTGGATGGCTTCTTGTGCCAAGCCAAAACTCCAGTGGCATGCAAAGTGTGACAGCTGGCAAAGACCAGCAAGTCATTGTGGCCACCGGCAAGAGCCCCACAGGCTGTCTCAAGGGGAGGCAGCTGCTGTGGCCTCCGACATTCAGGACATGCTTGGGGGGGCAAGTTACCTCAGCCCTAACAATGGCTCTTGTCTTTGTCTGAAGGGGCTTGCATGTGTGCATTGAGACCCCACAAAGTGTGTTTCAGGGGTTCCTTTTCCTCATATAGAAACCTATATGGGTCTCCCACACCTCCCACTACCCTGCTCACCCTGGCTTTGGGTTAAGAGGCTGGAAGCCTTGAAATGGAAGATGGTGGGAACTCAAAGTGCCCTGCAAGTGTGCTTTGGCCAAAGACAGGCTGTGCTATGGGAAAGCTTGGCCACCACTGGAAGCCCCTGTTGTTACTCAAGACATTCCTCTCCTAGAAGGCCAGCTAACTGCAAAAGGTTGTCTTTGCTAAAATGTGCTGCTTAAACTGGCTGGAGCTGAGACTTGTGATGACATAAAAGAAGTTCACTTTTTAAAGTGCTGTTTTTTTTCTAAGAAGATCAAAATTCTTTGAAAACTTTAAGTCACTCGGTAGCCATTGACATTTCTACCATGGATATAGAAGTGACAGCCAAGTTCAAGGTCTGCCCTACATCAGAATACCCCAACCCATCTGAAAGTAACCCTGCCTGGGGTTATATGAGACAGGGTAGAGCCTCCCTTAGCTTCTTTCTGATTTTCTGGGATTAGGAGAGTAATAGTAAAGAAGAAAAAATGAGGAAAAGAAAGTTGATTGTTCTTTGATAGTTCTTCTTGGGCAGAGAAGAACTTCCCAGAGAACACCTTAGAAAGAGCTTAGTTGAAATAAAGACTCCAGCTGGGAAAATGGGAAAGAATGTGAATTGTGTCCATTTTCAAAGAGAACACAAGTTAATCAACTGGTTATGAACTGCTACAATGTTTATAGTTTTAAACCACAATGTTTTAAAGCTGTATAATTGTTGCAATCCACTTAGTTTGGACACTGGCAGGAATGCAATGTTGTCTGCTCTGGTTGTAACACTAATATTATAGGGAGGATTATTCTGGTTTTTTTTAGTGTGTCATTTGGACCTGATTTTAATAAGGCTGACTATTGTAAATGATGTCTGAGTCTAAATACATCCTGTAACATATTTTGGGAAAGTAGGAAAAGAAATTAGTTGGCACCTGTGTATTTCAGGCGATTACTTATAATAACAAAAGCTTGATTTAGCTAGTGGTGACATAACTCAAGCAGATGGGCACATGCTTTCCTCCCACTTTTTCTAAACTCAGAGTGACCTGCAGAAGTAGAGATTTTCATTGCTTCTAGGAAAACCAAGCACAGAAATTCTGCTGCTGTCACGAGGGCTGTATAAAGATGCATTTTAATACTTCTCACTGTATAAATGAAAAAGACTACCATTTAAAAGAACTCCTGATAACCACTATGAAATGCATCATAAAGAAGGAAGCATATCTTACTTTTAAGATGATCGGAGATGATTTCTGCTTCAAATCAGATTGGTGGAATTTTAGACAGAGTAACAAGACATAACTGTCAGAGACCCTCTGAGTATGAGAAGAATCATTGCGAGTTGAAATTTACATATTAGCAATGCAATTTGGTAACTGAAGGGTTGGTTTGGGGCAGAACAAAAATATTCTCTGAACCTCCCTGAGGTTCCTCGCTGAAGCCAAATGTTCCAAAGGCTTACAGTGACACAATAAAAAGAGACAATTTGCTTGGAAGGCTGTGGCTAATTTATAACACAATGTCCAATGTCA